AAGAAAAATCTCAAGAGGTCTTGATTTGTTGCTGTGCATTCATGGTACTTTCCCACTGGAAACGTTACAGTTCAGTCCCTTGAAACTGAAGTTTATGCTGACCGGGTATGCTCTGAAAGAGCATGTATCTGCTCCATTGTACCCAGGGATACTGGACTCCTCCTGTAACTGCCTGTATGACAGATGTCACACATTATGGCACAAAAATATCTTCCCATGACCAGCCCTGCTCCAGTGGGGAGTTTGGGGAGTGACACTTGGAGATAAAGCAGAAGGCCTGGCCTGTGGCCTTCACACCTGCTTGATAAGCAGCCGCCTTGTGCTCTGCACAGTGGATCCAGGCAGGCTTACCCATGGTGATCCCAGCTGGGCTGCACCGCAGGGAACCAACTGGCATTACTGACAAATCAGGCAGGGCACAATAAGCAAATGACCTGCATGTTTTGAAGCCAAATATTGGCTCCATGAAGGATGGAATAAGATATAACTGTGGTAAGACTTTATGAAGTACAATAAATATACTGTGAGCACTTTTCTGCATATGCAAACCTGAAAATTAAGTTCAGAGAATGCTGTTGGCTCAAAAAGCCAACCAAATCCTGTGCTCCCCTCTTCTAGCAGCACACAGAGTCCAAATATATGAATGAACTAAAGCAATCTGGGTCTTATTTGGTCATTCAGCTCTGATGACTCATCTTCCATGAGTTCTCCTTAGGCTAATGACAAGGAAACAAACACAAGCAGAACAGTATCAAAATTGGCCTCATTCTAGCAAAGTGGTGTACCTAGGATTTTATCACTAGGTACTACTTGCACTTCTTGTGTCACCTGTGCCTCAAGTAAGAATCAAAGGTTTTATAAACAAACAATCTGTTTTTCTCTCAAGCCACGAATAATTTTTACTCGAACCCCAGGGCAGCCCAAAATTTTACCCAAATAAATTTTTGAGAAACTTGCTGTCTGATGGAGCTTAAGGAAAGCAGCCAGTCAGGGCAGTTCCTGTAGGCTGTCTCCCTAAACCCAGTGTGTCCCCCTTGAGCTGCGACCCAAAACGCTTCATGCAGAGTAGAGCTGCACATTAAGTGCAGAAGCCTGAATTGGCTACCCCCACTCAGGAGAAGTAATGTGAAGTGGTGGCTGTGACCCTCCTAAATCCTCTAGGGGAGAGCAAAAAAGATAGTTACACTCCTGAGACACAGCAGTGCCAAGAGTGAGAGTCACCTCAGAGGCTGCCCTCCTCTCTTGGGAGTTCCTGCCCTTGTGAGTCCAGTCTGGCATCCTATACAGCCCTTTACTTTTGAAGGAACAGCGTGACTCACAATTATTAAATGAAAAGTAAATGCTGTAAGCACAATTTTATGACTGAAAACAGTATAATCACCCTTGCATGTGATTTTTGGGTGATGGATTACATTTCTTACCCTGAATACTTGTGTGCCTGTGAACTTGCCTGCTTCCTCCACCTTTACGAACTGCCCTTTGAAAGGTAGCACTTCTCCTTAGAAGCTTCCGAGACCCCATCAGCATAAAGTGGTGCCTCCTCGACCTCGTAAAAGGGCTTTCCATCCTTCCTCACGCATTCCCGAAGCTTTCACATCAGATGGCAATTTGCCTGGAGGGGGAACAAGCTTGACTTTCCCTCAGCAGAGGGGTCTGGTGCTGCCCTCCCACATCGGGTGACACTGCGATGCTAACTGACCCAATTTTAATGTCGATTCCGCAGTAAACCTGATGCCTCAGTTCCTCCGCTGGGAAAGTCGGGCCCTGCCCCGGCCCTCGGGAGGCTGCAGGTGGCTGTGCCGGCTCCAGACTCGGGCTGACGGGGTCTCGCCGGGGAGGGGGTTTCGGTCGTGAGCCCTTGTGCCGCCTGCGCTTCCCCCCGGCGGGGCCGGGCGGCGCTGGCGGCCGAGCGTGCCTGCCGTCGAGGCGGCTGCGAGACACCGCCCACGGCGGGGGTGGCCCCGCGTGGGTCCGGGGACGCGCGGGCGGCGCCTGCAGCAGACAGCGGCGAGGGACCGCGGCCACAGCGCATCGGCAGCGCCCCGAGAGCCGAGCCGGGGCGGGGCGGGATGTGGGCTCCGCCGGCCGCCGGGGCGAGCCATTCCCGCATCCCCTACTGACGGCTCCCCCGCCGCCCGCTCCCTGCTCTGGGGCTCGGCCGGGAGCCGGCGGCTCCCCGGGGCCGCGCAGCCCATGGCCAGCTCCGCGCAGCCCCCGGCGGCCGCAGGGGGCGGCGGCCCCGACGGCGGATCGCTGGAGGGGGGCGGCGAGGCCTTCGGGGACCGCTCCCTCAGCCAGGGCCTGAGCGTGCTGGTGGGGCTGGGGCTCTGCGTGACCATGCTGGGGCTGGGCTGCGCTGTGGAGCTGGGGCAGCTGGGGCAGCAGCTGCGGCGGCCCGTAGGGCTGCTGCTGGCGCTGCTGGGGCAATTCGTGGCTATGCCGCTGCTGGCCTTCCTCCTCGCCCTCATCTTCGCCCTGGACGAGGTGGCGGCCGTGGCCGTGCTGCTGTGCGGCTGCTGCCCCGGGGGCAACCTCTCCAACCTCATGTCGGTGCTCGTCGACGGGGATATGAATCTCAGGTAGGCGCCCCGCTCTCCTTCACCCCCAGCCGGCCGGGTTGCGGCGGCCCCGGGACGCGGGGAGGGTTCCCTGGGCACCTGCCGCCGGTGGAACCGGGATGGACGGACGCGCGGACGGACGGGCGGGCATGGCGCGGTGGGAACCAGCACTGCTCTCCTGCCTCTGCCGGAGCAGATCTTAACGCGGACCCTGACACACGCCTCCTCCCCCCTCCCCTAAAAAGCCTGCCCGCGCCTCGGCCGGGGCAGGGAAGGGGGGGGTCTCTTGCCGTGAGCAGCGCCCGGCCGGCTGCGGAGCCCTCATACCGAGGGGGCTGCCCCCTGGCCGGGCGGTGATCTCGTGTCTCTTTGGTTCCCCCGGCGCAGCATTATCATGACGGCCTCCTCCACGCTGCTGGCCCTTTTCCTGATGCCCCTCTGCCTCTGGATCTACAGCCGCCACTGGATCAACACGGCCGTAGTGCAGCTGCTGCCCCTGGGGGCGGTGAGCCTGACGCTGGGCAGCACCCTGCTGCCCATCGGCCTGGGGGTGCTCATCCGATACCGGCACCCCCGCGCCGCCGACCTCCTGGTCAAGGTAGGCACGGCCGCCGGGAGGGAGGTGGGCGGCCGCGCTGCGGGGGATGCCCAGGGCTGGCACCAGTGCACGGGGGTCGGACGGCAGTAACCTTTCTGGTCCCTCCAAACCGATGGTAGCTTCACACAGGCATATTCAACTACTTAGGCAGAATACCAGGACTTCCAGTCTTGAAATAAAGCAGTGGGACAGAGACGGAAAGCGAGGGAAAGGGCGGGTTACCCCCTATCACAGTGCACGGGAAGGAGGGCAGCGTGGCACTGCACCCTGGGATTTATCCTGGACCCTATAGCAGAAGCATTTCCCAGGATCCCACTATCTCCCCACTTCCGCTGCACCCAGGGCAAGTGAAACCAACCTGTGGGTATGGCCGTGCTTTCTTAAAATACGCAACTAAATTAGCTTAATTGTGAAAGGAAGAGTGAAGCACAAGCCCTGGCTCTCTTGTTTCCCAGCAAGTCATCCCAAAGCAAAAGGATGGAGGGTGATCTCAGCCCCTTCCTTTCCTGAGATATGACCAACCACCACCAAAATCCCGAGCCAGGAGCAAACCCAGGAAGGGCAGAACAACCATGTTTTTCGGTTAGACTCTCTTAGCAAGCGTCTATCTGCTACGCTTATCCTTTTAAACTAATAACCCATATGTTCAATGTCTGTATTGCCAGATTTCCCTGTGGTCTCTCTTGGTGACTCTGGTGATCCTGTTCATCCTGACTGGGACCATGCTGGGCCCAGATCTGTTGGCACACATTCCTGCATCTGTCTACGCCATTGCAGTGCTGATGCCTCTAGCAGGGTACGCCTTGGGATATGGCTTAGCCACGGTCTTTAAAATGCCCCCACACTGCAGGAGAACAGTGTCTTTGGAAACAGGATGCCAAAACGTCCAGCTCTGCACCGCCATCCTAAAACTCACCTTCCCCCCGGAGCTCATAGGGGGCATGTACATGTTTCCCTTGCTTTACGCGCTTTTTCAGTCGGCAGAAGCGGGACTCTTTGTGCTGGTATACAAGATGTATGGAAGAGACAGCTACAAGCAAGATACACTCGGAGAAGAGGAAGACACAGATATTTCCTACAAGAAACTGAAGGAAGAAGAGGTAGCTGATACTTCATATGGCACAGTGACAACAGAGGAGCACAACTCCATTCAGATGGAACCGACGCAGACGTCGCTTTAGGCGAGATAAAGAGGTGACTCCCTGGGATGTGAATGTGTGTTGTGCTTGCAACCCGGCTGGGGCTGCGCTCGCTGCTGTGCAAGCGGAGCTGCCCAGCCTCCATCGTTTCTCCAGCTGCTTCCATTGTACAAGGTGATGTGTGTTTATTACCATGACAGTTCTACTTCTTCAAAAAAATAAATGGGGGGGGAAGGTAAAAAGTATCATTGTGATGCAGACCAGTAACTGTAAAACTTCATGCAAGGAGGCTGCTGCCCGGCTGAGTGCAGCAGGAATGGGTAGGAAGAAAGAGACAGCATTTTACAGAGGCAAAGCCAACTCCGTGCCAGTATGAATGAAGGGAAAAACCACCTCGTGCGTGTATCTCTGTGCCTCCGACCTGCTATAAAAGCATTGTGCTCGTTGTTCTCACCACAAATACATGGCGAAGCCGAACCAAACACGTGTTCTTCACTATCTAATCCCGCGGCGGTAATTAAGAGCCGCGCTGCCCGGTTCACCTGGGGCGCTGTGCGTGGGGTGGGGGATTGCCCGAGGCCCAGCACCAGGAGGAGACGGGAAGGGGCAACAAAGCCGGTACCCGTCGGGGGCGGGGGAAGCCCGTCTCCGCCCCGGGGGTATTTAAGGCCGCCCCTGGAGGGAGGGTACTCCGGGTACGGTGCGATGGCGGAGGAGGGGATGGCGAGCTACCTGTACACCGCCTACCACCCCTACTCCTACCGCTACCCGCCGCCCAAGGGCAAAGGGGGAGCGGCGGGCGGCTGGCGGCCCCGGGGCAGCGGCTACTTCTCGGGTTACGGGGACGCGGCGGCGGCCGCCGAGTACTTCGACAACTACCAGCGGGCGCAGCTGAAGGCCATCCTGTCCCAGGTCAACCCCAACCTGACGCCGCGGCTCCGCAAGGCCAACACCAAGGAGGTGGGCGTGCAGGTGAACCCGCGGCAGGACGCCTCGGTGCAGTGCTCGCTCGGGCCCCGCACGCTGCTGCGCCGCCGCCCTGGCCCCGCCGCGCCGCGGCCCCGCGAGGCGGAGCAGGAGCTGGGCAGCCCCGCCACCACCAGCACCCGCGCCGTGCGCTTCCCCCGCACCATCGCCGTCTACTCGCCCATGGCGTCCCGCAGACTCACCGCCTTCCTGGAGGAGCCGAGCGCGGAGCCGGAGCGGCGGCCGCAGCAGCAGGACAAGGCGGCGGCGGCGGCCGTCGAGGAAGAGCCAGCCGCGCTGAGAGAGCAGCGGGAGGCGGAGGCGGCCGCCGTGCGGGCAAGCTGGGAGAAGCCCCCCGAGGGTGGCGCTGAGCCGCTAGAGCAGCGTCCGGCCGAGCCCCTGGAGCAGCGCCCGGCCACCACCCCAGAGCCGCCAGCGGAGACCGAGACGGGCCAGGAGGAGAAGGTGGAGGCGGCAGAGGCAGCGCGGGCAGAGCCGGCGGAGCCACCGGCCGCGCCCCAGAAGCGGGAGCCGTCGGCGGGCAAGACCCGCCTGCGCTTCCAGGTGAGGGGTGGCCGGGGGGGAGCGGAGCGGGGCCGGGTTGGCCCGGGAGGTGCCCGCCCCGTCGAATAATAGTTGTCCCCGGCAGTTTCTGGAGCAGAAGTACGGGTACTACCACTGCAAGGCCTGCAACATCCGCTGGGAGAGCGCCTACGTCTGGTGCGTCCAGGGCACCAACAAGGTAGGGCTCGGATCGCCCCCGCGCGGCCCCCTCGCCGCCGCCCCCCTGCTGACTCCGGCCTCCCCCCAGGTCTATTTCAGGCAGTTCTGCCGGACCTGCCAGAAGTCCTACAACCCGTACCGTGTGGAGGATATCACCTGCCAGGTAAGGGACGCCCTCCCTGCCCCGGGCCGGGCGGCCCTGGGGTCTGGCCGCCCTCCCCGACCGCCTCCTTCTCTCTCAGAGCTGCAAGCAGACGCGGTGCACCTGCCCCGTGAAGATGCGCCACGTGGATCCCAAGAGGCCCCACCGCCAGGACCTCTGTGGCAGATGCAAAGGGAAACGCCTCTCCTGCGATAGCACATTCAGTTTCAAATACATTATCTGAGGGAGATAGGGATTTTTTTTGTTTGTTTCGTTCAGGGCTCTTCTAGAAAACTACAAGTAGAGGAGATTTTTTTGTTGCTGGTATTGTTAAAGATACTTGGTGAGGTGTAGCTAGGAAAGCTTAAAAATAAAAGTATTGCAAAGCATACTCAAATGACCAGGTGGGTTTGTGCTCAGCTCAGAGGGTGCATATTGCAAATTCTGTAACTTGCCTAGGGGAAGAGCCCACAAGTGTTTTGTAAATAGGTGATGGTTTTGGAAGCAACTGACTCAGGACCTTGTAGAATTTCAGGTGGATACTGTTTCTGTTACTGCTCTACTCTTGAACTAATCAAACACTTGAAGTTAACATTAAATCAACATCTACAGTTGGTATTAGAGCATCATTGATGAAGTATACACATAATAGTATTCACTTACTGTATCCACTTCTAGTCCATGTAGAAAGTATCATGCACTTGTGTTTCATCACTAGAAAATGATTGAGAAAAGCTGTGTAAGAACTAGGTCACTAGTACAGCTGGTCTGCATTTAGCTAAGCTGCTGTTCTTGTCTGTAGACTAAAGCCAAATAAAGCTTTTGAGGGATAGTTTTCACAAAATGCTGAGGAAGGGAGTCAGTGATGTTATGGTCTTTGAGTAAATGTGTTGCTCATCTTTCTTGTGCAAGCTTATCAAGCAAAGTGACACTTCAGAGGCTCAAGGTACAATACTGCATCTCCCTGGCTTCCTCTCCAACCCATAGATGAAGCATAGCTGACTTCAGGAGTTTGATCTAGTTATGGTTTAGATTCCTGCCATCAGGGAAGGATCAAACTCCCACACCCTTTTGGGGTTGGTTTTCCAACTCAGAATTGTACTCCTGGCGTTTGGCAGTAATGGCAGAACCAGCACTGTTCGCTCCCAGATGATGCTCTCTGTGGGCTGTTGGTGCTGTCAGTGGTGATGCCCTCTGTGGGGACACCATGCTTCAGCAGTGTGTTACAAGCTGAGTGGGACTAACTACAGCATCACTATCTGAGCAGATTCAAAAGCTAATAAAACCTACACTGCCACCCCCAGTCTCCCCTTTAGCTAAGGAGCCAGGTAAACTTAGAGGAAAACATACTTTTCCGAGTGCTACTGAGCACTAATTTTGAAATAAAACACCACACTGCATAAAGCCTTTTGCAGAACTCTAGAGGTAGCTTCTCTTTGAAAAGTGACTTATCTTGGCTATTACAAACTTGTCTACATCTCTACCTAGCTTACTTGAGACCACTATTTTAAAGACTAAAGGAAGAACCATTCTAAGCCCATGCTGTACAACAGTTTCAGTGCCAAGTGGTTTTGCATCTCCAGGTAGGAGCTAGTATATGGCTGGATAGGCAAACAATATCCCTTGTACAAACATGTCTGTTTTGAGGGGCAGTGAGTGTTAATCCTGTAGGCTTAACTCATCTTGCTCTAAATTCCTGCTTCAATATGCCCCTTGAACCTGCTGCAGTGACTAAGGCTTAATGCCTCAGTGCCAATTTATTGCCAAGTAATTTTATTTATTCTTACCACGTTCATTATTCTAGCAGCATGAGGCATTCTGGGAACAAGTTGGCCTATCCCCTCTGGAGCAGAATACAGTTTTATTTCATACTTTTACCTGAAGCATTTTTCCCTGCATCACAGCAAAAGGAAATACCCCTTGCTTTACCAGCTCACTCAGGCTTTCACAGCAAGTTTCATCCTTGCTCTAATCAACTTGAAAAGTACACCTGCAGCTGGCAGCTTTCCGTAGGTGTGTGTGCCTTGTACTCACCTGTAGGTACTGTAATGAGCAGTGGCATTTCTCCAGCTTGAGGAGGAATCAGCTGGGGCCCTTTCTGCAAGCCATTCAGCCACACTGCCTCAGCTTGCAGTTGCAGCTGTGATCTGGGATGTCTTCTAACTTCTGAGCATATTCCCCTCTAAGGGTGTTCTTCAATACATTTTCCTGTTTGCCTTCCCCATTGTAATGGCTTTAGTCTGTTCCTGATGGATGCAGTGAGACTGACGGGGATGAATCGGTGCACATGGATAATGAGTCTGAGAACTGAAGCTCTGTGCCGTGTCAGTATCGAGTCATATGGCAACTAATGGCAATATGAGCAGTCAAGTGCTTCCTACTTGTACTCTCACAAGCATAGCTTTGAGGATTACTTGCTGTGAATATGGTGACTCTTATGTGATTATTATCAGTAATAGCCCAAACTGAAATTTAGTACAACTTAAGGGCTGTCATCCCCACTAAGCACAATCAGAGCAGCAGTCGGTTTTGCTTGATAGGATGTAGAACAGGCCTACCTAATGTGAACTTACTTTGTGCTTCAGCAGCAACTAGTCCAAGCAAGCAGCTGATGAAGGCTCCCAGGGCAGATAGCAGCAAAGAGCCACCCCTGCTTTCATTAGCTACTGCAAGGTTTTGTGACTTGGAGGAGTACAGGGCAGTGGGCAGCCATATTAAACAAGCTTTCCTTTATCCTGTAGCATTCCTTGAGTTCCATAGTAGCTCTACATGTCATCCTCATCCCTCTTACATAAATATATTCAGTGCTTTTACTGCTTGATGTCAAAGTAAAGTTCTGTATTTCTCTCATTCTTTTCAACTTTACTGCCCTGTCATGTCCTTGACAGCACGCACTGTGTATCATGGGCACTGGTTCCCAGACTCAGCGGAAAGAAGGAAAGCAACTCCTGACCTATGTGATTATGCAAAGTGGAAAGGAACAGCCTTCATGCTGCCAATTCTTCAAAGATATCTTGAACTTGCCCTGTACGGCTTTTTCACGAAGAGATTCTTTTGCACATTGGCTCAGTCAGTGCTATCTTTGCTGCATCTTACTGGAGCTCTCTGATGTTTTGCTTCTTTCTAGACAGCTTTACCATAGCTTCAGATTTGGAACAGAGCTAGCATCAGGTAATGTACATTGGCAGTTTATGCAGTAGTTGAGGAGTAATTTTTTAAAAGCTTCACAAAGTCAAAGCAATATCACAGACAGTCAGCTGATGTGCTTCTGCTCCATAGGGCAGGTTCCACTAGCCATTATAAATGGAGGAAGATGCAAAGCATAAGGAATGACATACATGAATTCAGGTTTGAGTTTCATGAGAAATCCATTAACAGTTTCAGAAGATGCCTAGGAAAATGCTGCTGCAATGACAGGATATAAAAGGGAAAAACCACGACTTCAGGGCACCTAGACCTCTGTTGTCAGGGTTCGGTCTGCTTAGCTAAAGTATTTAAACTCTAGCTTGTAAAAATACACAAAATGACAGATACAATGTCTTTTATTTTTACAAAAAAAGCTGGTAAAAGATGATGTAAATAAAAGTGTAATGTGCCCCTAAATAAAACTACTTATCCCTGGTAAATACTAATTAAATAATTAAGAACACCATCTACAGTACCACAAAACCATCAAAATAATTCAATTTTATCAGGGACAGGGGAAAAAAAAATACAGTGAATATGGATGTGCCTTGACCAGTTACAGAACTTGTTAGGATAACATAACTACTGTCAGCAGTCCAACAGTGTGCACAGTGCCTTCAATTAATGCATTTCAGCATAATTACATTTCTAGTGGGGTCTAATTCCCCCAAAAAGGCAGAGCTAAGAATTTCAATTCTACATTTAAACTCTGGAATTAGAGCCCATTAAAAAAAAATCACAGTGGGTAAGAGATGTATATAAAAATACTGGGTGTTCCTTTCAAATCACAGGAATAGTGGGACTACATTCTTTTTTCCTGGTTTTTTTTTCCTCTTTTTTTTTTTTTTTTTTTTCTACAAAATGCTATTGGTTTCAACAGAATCCAGTTTGTTTTATGCTACAGACTTTTGACACTGAACTATGAGTATATTGCCTGTTTGCATGTTTTGGTAGTCAGTCATTTTTTTTTTTTCTATATAGTCCCAATTCCTTAGGCTGCAGTTGAGTCATGAAGACGCATATACGTGCATTCAAACTCTTCAAACCCTGCAGACCACTCAGACTGCAAGTACTGCATGTGACTACCACGAGGGAACCTCCCTTCCCCTCATAGCTTTATACACCTACTGTTTTAACAGTGCATTGCACAAATTTACAAGAAAAATACTGGTTTTGCACTATACAGTTTCTAGAATATATACAGAATAAAATAAGTTAACTTCTAATGAGAATTGTTGATGGGCAGCATATATCTTTAATATACATTTTAAAGTCTCTGCAGGCAGCTACTTTTTGGTTAGTTGTTATCAATATTTGTAACATAAGCACTGGTCAGAGAACTGAGCAGCATTCCAATAAAGTTAACAGATATATTATTTCTTTTAGAAACACTGGGAAATCCCAGTTGAAAATATTATTAAATGTCCTAACATTTACACACTATGAGGATTAGATCTAATAAAATAAAATTTCTTCAAAAATAATCTTGCAGCTCTTTTAAGCATGCTCTGAGACCTTATTTAACAATCATCCATACCTTCAAAAAACAAACTGTCACATAGCCATACATTCTAACTCACACACATAATTTCCTTATTACAGACAACAAAAGCAAATAAAACGCTGAGAAGTCAATGGTTTTTGCAGTCGTAAGTCATTCTACTCATGTTGGACCGCACATTCTTCATGACGTTGCAAAGTGTCTCGTTAGGTATTAGCTGATGATTATATCTACTGCTGCTGGGAAAGCCAGGAAGCCTTGCAGGTCTTCAGCCAAAATAAACCAGCCTTGATTTTAGCCTCATCCCACCTGCAATACTGATTCAACCTGTAGAGGCTGTTACTGCAAATATCATTTAGAGTTCTGTTACAACAGAAAATAATGCATATGTATGCATTACATTTAAGCCCTTTTCCTTTCATGTAGTTTTTATAGATAAATTTAATAAAAAAATACTACTGCCACTCAGGCTGCTGTGTAGAAAGAGCAGTCAAGTAGGATGTTCACTTCAATTTTCAGATTTTTACTTTTGATGGAACAGTTTCTTGCTGCGATAAAATTGTGTTGGTTGTCAGGATTGCTG